TCACCAGCAGCATCTCCTTCCCCTCTTTCTTTGTTCAAAAAGATGGCAATTGCTCCCTTTGAAACAGGATAAAACACCAACTCCTTCATTGCCTTAATAGAAGACAAGTGAGGGGCCTCTGGCAGGGACAAAGGTTTGCCTCAGCCTTCTGATGCTCTGATGATGTCCAATAGACTCTGCAGGAGGGCCTGAACTCACAGGCTCATGCCCGCTCTGGATTCTAATGTTGCTTAATGTTTATTCTGCTGTCTGACTTCCTGTCATTCTTTCTTCTCTGAACTTTGAGCTAGAGCCCACTTTATTGCCCTCCTGCAGCTCCATGATAGCCTGGTGGCCCCCATTTTGTTGTGGCAGGCCACGTTAGGCCAAGCATGATCACATGACCAAAAGAAACAAGCTATTTGTTTAACAGACTCAAGAAGCTTGGCGTCCCCTTGGCTCCAGGACTAAAGGTTGAGTATGGACCCTTGGCTATGGACATTGAATAATCCAGATTGGATGTACCCAGGAAAATGACCTGGGTTGGAGGTGTCTAAGAGAGAAGAAAAAGACCTCGGAAGGCCCTCCAGGACATAGATTTTCATACTTAATTCTTCCCAGCGGTGTATACAAGAGCAGTCAGATATTGAGAAAACATCCCAGCCCAGTCCAGATCAAGCCTGTAAGTCTGATATTAGCCCATTGTCCAATACCAATCTATAAAGTCCTCTTCAGACTCATGCAACACATGCAATGATGCCAATGCAGGAAGATCACGGACCAGTGGATGGGAAGTCTTGTAGATCCAGTGACATTGTAAGTATCTCATCAGTTCTGGCAGGGATCTCCATGTGACTTCTCCAAGGTCCAGGGTTCTGGCTGCATCAGGGTAGGGCCATGTGACTTCTCCTCAGGGTTGTCTCGCAGGGAGTGAGCAAAGAGGGAGAGAGGTGTCTCCCGCCTCCAAGGAGGAAATATAGGAGTTCCCAGAATTCTCAGGAGAAGGACATGCCCACACAAAGGCTTCACTGGTTATATATTGATTGTCAGGCCAGACTCCACCCCTTCACTCATAGTCCTCTCAAATTGACACCAGATTATATAACTACCACACACTGGGTTTAACCCGTAAGACAACTTAGCATCTTTACACATCTAGACTGAGTGCTGGGGAGGTGGCTGTAAGCCTTCTCACTAATACTCATGCCACAGGTTAATTAGGGACAAGCTAAGCTCCCTGCCACTGTTGCCACCACTCCATGGCATTGGACCCATTTGCAGTGACAATGCTCCACAAGAGACCGCCTTTCCTTCCCTCCTTTGCTTTCTGTGTCCTTTTTTGAATATCACCGCACAGCAATATCTTTGGGGTCTTGCATGTAATTGAAATACCTTGACTGCGAGCATGTGTACCCGCAGATGCCCAGATCATCTTGGGGAGCAAACCGGACCTCGTGTCAACATCAGTCATAGAGACCTGGTGAAAGGTCCTGGATTTGGACCATGCACGATCATTCATTGAATGAAAATATCGCATCAATGTCTGAATTTCAATTTCCTCATATATATAATGAAGATGATAATTCCCAACTCAGAAGATTATCATGAAAATGGAAATGAGCTTGTTACACACACATATGTATACATAAGTGTATGTCTCTCGCTATATGATTATGCATAATCCAACCTGTGAAGTGGAGATGTCTGAATTACTGCTCAACTCCTTCTGCTCCTAAAAGTCCTACATGTTATCTTCCTTTCAAGCAGTTTCAATTGCTATCGAATGCACTCCATCTGTGATTTTTCACAAGTGGATGGCCGGGCCTTGCTTCTGAGGTTTTTCTGTGGGATTTGAGCCCCCCACCTTTCAGTTAGCTGCTGAACATGTCAGCTGTTTGAGCACCCAGAGATTCCCTTCTCCACTGAGCGAGCACTTGATCTAATTTAGGGAGCCCCGGTGGCGGAGTGGTGACCTGTTGGACTGCAATCCACAAAGTCATCATTTTTAAACCACCAGCCACTCCTCCAGAGAAAGATGAGGCTTTTGACTTCCATAAACAGTTACAGTCTTAGAAACTTAACAGGGGAAGTTCTGCCCTGTCTTATAGGGTCTCTATGCATCAGTATTGACTAGGCAGTGAGTGAGAGTTTATCCAGTTTTAAAATTGAGTCATAATCACAAGCCTGCTTGCTTTCCCAGAGTCCCAAGGATGATGGAGGAATCCTAGTTAGCATCTAATCCCTCCATTGGTCAGAGGGGATCCCTTGGTTTACAATGAGAAGCCCTGGGCCCTGGGCTGATAGCTACCATCAGTGTTGCCAAGTGTCATGATGTCTATGAGCCCCAAATCCTTCATCTGAAAGGAAAGCTGGTAACGCCCATCTTGTTAGCCTGGCACAGACCCATGTAAGGACCAGCCGGGTGATGCGGATGAAAGGTTTCTAACCTGCACAGTGTTCTATGATTCTCCGTTCAGGGGGAGGAGCATGTTCCGTGACTCCAAGCAGTGGCATCTACAGAACAAAACCAGCTCAGGCCCCCTTCTTTCTCAGGACACCTTTTTCTGTGTCTCTCCATTTAGTCCCCACTTCCGATCCATGCCCCAGTTCCAGCTTGAAGCCAGCTGCCCTCCAGACAAGGGCTCGCTCAGTCTGCCCATGAGCGTGGACTGTGCGGCATGGAGTCTCATGACTAGGGCTTAGGGCTGCCTCCTCCAGGCACCCTGACCGCCCCTCCCCCTCCAGGGACAGGCTAGTCATGAGGCTTCCCAGCAGCAGGGTTAGGACCAGCTTGACTCCCAAGGAGAGAAGGCCCACTGTGCTAGGAGGGGAGGGACGTGGCCAAGCCCCCTGTTCTGGAAACGCAAAACCAGAGATGAACAACGAGAGTCTGCAGGGTCGGTCTTGGTCAAATCTGAGCTCTCTCACTCACCTGTGTGTCGTCTCGGGACAAGTCACATAATCCTTCCGAGGCAAGGATTATGAAGCGGGGTGGGGTGTGGAGGGAGTGGGTGGACAGTGAGCTCACCAGGCATTCTGCCAGTGAGAAATGTGGTAAGAGATACAGCCTAGGGAATCCCGCGGAGGCACCCGGCTCTGCCCTGGAGGGCGCATATCAGTCAGAATCAGCTCCATGGTCATGGCTTTGTTGGGCTTCCCATCCCCTTCCATTCTTTTCAGCTGCACTGGCGTGGAAGGAATAGGACCGTGAACTCACGGTTTATGATGCGCCTCCTCCTTTGTGTCAGATGCAGAACGTGGTTTGCTCCCTGCAGGGGAACAGCTCTGAAGAATTCCTATGGGGAGAGAGGTTTAGAATAAGGTGACGAGATGTCCCGCTTTTGGCGGGACAGTCTCGATTTTGGACGTTTTTTTAAAAGTCACGATTTTTGGAAAGAATGCACGACAAGCTAGGGAACGGTCTATTTGGTCCATATAGACCAAATTTTTAATCAAGAACCCCCCTCCCAGGTCAATGGTGTCCCGCTTTAAATCTGATCACCTTGGTTTAGAAGTGTGACGTGACTAGTAATAGTTGCTAAAAGACATGCAGTCTGTATCGGACTCCAAACAGGCAACCAAGCCCCCCTCCTCCCTCAGTCCACAGCCCGTATGGACCCTGGTGTCCAGAGGCAAACACACTGATTACTGGCACTGGGTGGAGGAAAGGGGTCAGAATCGGCTTCAGAGGGTGTCGGCAGTGAGGACAGTGTGTGTCTCACACCACCCACTGCAGAGACACTGGTCGCTGAGGTCAAATATTCTCATGACAGCCACTCACCAATGGCTATTCCTCACTCTCTGGATGGTAGCCTTCAGGAAAGCCCTGTCACCGACCCTCCCAGGTCTACTCCCTCCCTGGCCCCTCCATTTCTCACCCGCCTCCTCTCTCTACTCATGGTTCCACCTTGAAACATCTTGAGATCCCCACAAGCACCATGCTTTCTCACCTCCCCGCGCTCCCTCGCAGGTGCTGTTCCCTGGCAGATTGCCTTCCCTGCAGCCTCATTCTGACTCAGCCTTGGCGATTCAGTCCAGGTGCCACTAACAACAGTAGGCCCTTGTCCGTCCGTGCTCTCACAATAGCCTGTACCCGCTGATTTCTGCCAGCCCACTAAGCACATTGCAATGGTATTATTCCGGAATGTTTACTTCTTCTCCTAGTCCAAGGCTGTCCTAACTGGTTTCATGGAGCTCCTAGGCCAGCGGTTGTGGCAGGGCAGCTAGAAGAGGGGATAAGATAAAAAATATCACCAAAGAAGTATCGCGCCATCTGCTCTAATTCCCTCTTGGAGGTGGTGGCACAGCACCCTCTGTAACTGAAATGGTGTGAATGGACCATAGTAACTTGGAAGAAAGAGCTGGCTGTTGGCTGCCAGAAGGTCACGTTTTGCAAACCCTTTGGCACAGTTCTGCTTGGCACACGTGAATCACCATGAATTGAATTCAGCTTGATGGCAGCTGGTAATTCCCTTCTATCTGAATTGGCTAGGGGAAGGCATAGGGTGCATATAGGATGAACTTGAGGACATCTATTGTTATTTTGAGAAAAACTCCCCCCCTGACTCGGATTTGGGATATGGTCCCTCACACCAGTCTCCCCCTGTGGACTAGGGCACTGAGTTACACAGGGAGCCAGGTAGAATAGCCCTTGACCATGTGGGGGAACTCTGTTTGCAAGAGGAGTCCTGCTGGGTAGTGGTTATGCATTGGGCCGCAATCTGCAAGTTCAGCAGTTCAAAACCACCAGCCACACTGAGGGAGAAAGATGGGGCTTGCTACTCCCATGAGGAGTTACCATCTTGGAAACTCACAGGGGCAGTTTTACCCTACCCTATAGGGTCACTCTGAGACAGCATCAACTCAATGGCAGTGAGGTTTGAAAAAAAATGTGTTTGCATAGTGTGGGTGGCATAAAGGCACCTGAGTGACCCCAATATTTTTCACTGGACTACTAACCTAAAGGCTGGCAGTTTGAAGTCACCCAGTGGTGCCGCAGAAGACAGGCCTGGCAATCAGCTCCCCTAAAAACTACAACAACGAGAACACTGTGGCGTGATCCCACTCTGTACCACACGAGTGCTCACGTGCGTGGTCACTGACGCCATGGCAGCAGGCTTGGTGTTTGGTTTGGGGTGAACTCAAGACTGGGGCCGATGAGGAAGCGCCGAGGAGCATACGCCAGCAGAGCTTCATTGAGGTACTATGGAAAGGAGTGGCGGCTCTCCGGCTGGGATCAGTGGTTAGGAATGGGAAGGCGGGCTGGAGAGGGCCTCCAGGTGGGAGAGTCTCTCTCTGTTGCTTCAAGACCACCTTGATGAGAATCACCTGTCAGCTGTAAAAGACTCTTGTCTTTCCACCCCACTTTCAGGAGCGTACAACTTTTTGAGGTGCTGACAGCCCTGCTCTGTGACTTTCGGCCCGATTCAGCCACCGGACCCCAGAGAACATGACCCTAGCCGGTAGGTACCACCTGTGTTTCGGTGATAGAGGCACAGCAGCGTGGGCTACTTCTGCATACGCCTCTATGCATGTGTACTAATACGGACACAGAATGATTACAGATCTATAGCAAGGCAATACACCAAGGAGTTAGAACGGGTTCTCTCTAGTTCAGTGGTCCTCAACCCTCCTAATGCCGCAACCCTTTAATACAGTTCCTCATATTGTGGTGACCCCCCCACCATAAAATTATTTTTATTACTACTTCATAACTGTCATTTTGCTACTGTTGTAAATCAGGCAACCCCTGTGATAAGGGTCGTTCCACCCCCAAAGGAGTCTTGACCCACAGGTTGGGGTCAAGCGGGCTGGGGACCTTCCGGGGCAGGACAGGAGTGTGTGGAGCACCAAACCATCAGCCCGTACTGCAGCCTCCTAGTTTTCAAGAAACTCCCAAACACAGGCAAAATAGATGGTGGGGTGTGTGTGTGGGCGGGGGGAGCTTGGGGGGAAGGAGGTGGCAGGACACCGGTCCCTCTGGCTTTGACCACTGCTCTGAGAAAGTCAGGGAGGGCACACAGCTGGACTTTGGAACCAGCGAGGACCAAAGACACAGAGGGCATTGTGGTAAGGATGCCCCAGCTTCCCTAAGACTTCTTCACCCTTGGGGCAGGACTGGTAACTACCTTCAGCAGAATGGTTTGTGGACCTCCAGCAATCTGGAACACCTTGGGGCCAGGGTGGGGAGTCAGAGGCCTCAATCACGGCTGCCAGAGTCCGGTGAGGACATGGGGCTTGGGGTTTTCCCCTGAAGGCATTTTGCAAGTGGTCCTAAGGGAGGAGAAGATGAACTGGGAGGAATGATAAAGCCATGTGGGAGTCCTAGAAGACTCCGGTTATAACAGGTGAACAGAGTAGGTTAGAATCACACTAGAAAATGGAGCAGGGCAGCATTGGGCAAAAGAGGGTAGCTGGCTCCCTAGCCCAGGTCTGGTTCTGGGTAGCGTGGATACCTGTGTGATACCCAGGAGTCCCTTGTGCCAGGCCTGCACAGCTGCCAGCTTCTTAGGCTAGCTGGGGTTCGCAGTCTTCATGTCTCTGGAATGTTGTTTCTGCAGCCTACAAGGAGAAGATGAAAGAGCTCCCCCTGGTGTCCTTATTCTGCTCCTGTTTCTTGGCGGACCCCCTGAATAAGTCCTCGTATAAATATGAAGGTAAGTAGAGACCAGTCAGGAAAATAGGAAGCTAAGATCTCCTGTGTGTTGGAGT